GGTAAACTCGAGGACCCGCAAGTCCCAGAGACCCTGTCTCCTCTTCCCCCAGCGCTGGGATTACCTATGCCACCACCCTTTAGCTTTCTGAGAATCGAACTCAGGTTTCCGAGATTGCGAGCATTTTCCCAGCTGAGCCAAATCCCCAGCCCTCCCTGTAATTTTTTTTTTCTTTTTCATCTACCTATTTACTTAATTATTGAATTTGGAGGTAAGATCTCACTACATAATCCTGGGCTGGCCTAGAGTTTGCCACGCAGCCCAGGCTGGCCTCAAAACCACAGAGATCCATCTGTCTCAGCCTCTTTCTTTGCCTCCTGAGTGCTGGGATTAAAGGAATGAGCCACTGTGCCCAGCCCGCTCCATGATTTTTTTTTTTTTTTAAAGAGACTGAGTAAGGACTTCGGTCTTTGCCTCCTGAGGGAAGAGCTGGAGGGTGAACATACAGAAGGAGTTCCTGGCTGCTTGGGCAGGGGCACCCCAAAGCTCCCCATGTTGAAATAAATATCCAAACACTTCCAGACAGACCACTTTATACGGCGGTTTCTCTGGAGAAATGTGCTAAAACATCGTGAAATGGGATCCGCAAGCATCCGTCTTCCGTAGCTCTGAGTAGGAAAAAAATCAAATTCCTGCAGGGAGAAAGTGCTCCTACCAAAGCGTCAAAATGAGCTGCACCCGAGGGTGATGGGAAAATTCTGGAACTCGGCTGTGGAGACCAAGGCAAGACGATCGATGGTTCCAGAATTAAACAGAGAGATGGGCTGGGACAGGGCTGGCCTAACGCACAAACTACAGGATCCAGAGTTGGACAGACAGCACTACAAGGGAAAATGGGGGGGAACTTAAACTGCAAAGCTCTTCAGGGCTCAAAAGGGTCTCCCATCTGCATCAACAGCTCAGCTCCTCCAGGAAGCTTCTCTGGCGAGCACTGTGGCTGGGATGTTCTCGGTGTATTCTATGTACACGGTGCAGCAATTGCCCTCACACACTCAGCCTCCCTGCTAAGCCCCGCAACAGTCAGGAAGCTTAGCTGCACTTTCCAGGCCTCTCCTGCTGGCTGCCCCATCCCCTGCTCTGCACTGAGGTGTGGAGCATGGGTGAGCTCGAAGTCAAGGGCACAGGGGAACCTGAGGAGCCAAGAGGCTGCAATGTGTTTCCTTCCTCATGGCCACGCAGCCACAACCTCCAGCTTCTCCACTAATGTGGCATAGAGAATCACATGTATCAAGCCCACGGCTGCATGTCAACCCATCATATTAGCCAAGTTCACCAGGCCGCAGCCAAGAAGGGCAAGGGTCCAGACAGCTGGGAAAAAAGAGAAATAATTATCTGGTTTTGCCTGAATATGTAGGGAATAAAATGGGGTTTGTTTGAGGCTAGCCCAGTCTACATAGCGAGTTTCAAGTTCCAAGTGAGCCGAAACTACATAGTGAGACTGTCACAAAAAAAATAAAATAAAATTAAGTTTATAATGGTAATTTCAGGCCTGTTGAGACAAAAGTAGATCTGTCATTTTCTTGTAGAAAAAAAATATTCACCAAAGCCATCTTTTCAACATACTAATAACTTTTTACCACAATATAATAATCTCATTTTACAGTGTTTCCCTTCATTATCTGATTTGGAGTTTCACACTGGCCCTAGGAAACAGAGTACATCCAATTATCCCCCGCGATACAGATAAAGGAACCAGAGCTCAGAAGGTAATGTGAAATGCCCACAGCCACGCAGCCAGGCAGAGCAGCAAAGCCAAGGGTGAGCCTGAGCTCCCAGTTCAAGGTCACCAGGGCTCCTCACCGCTCTTTGCCTTTTTAATTAATTAGCTTTTTTCAGTGTGGCTACTGAAAAGTATAAAATATTGAACGCAGGGTTTCTGAGACATTTTAGCAGCCATGTTCTGTTCATACCTAGAGATCCAGGACAACATTGTCTATTCACTGAATCTCATAGGCTCAGGACAGGTTTACAGCCTGGCCCTAAGAGACTGGGACACCCAAGTCACAGCTCACAGTTGGGATAGATTTATCTTCGTGTCAGGACATTCCTTTCGTGCCCTTCTGGCTCTCATCCTGACGTAGCTCCTTTCAGAAACTAAAATTCCTGCCCCCAGCTGACAGACAGAACATACCAATGGCCAAATCCTGAAACCAGCCAGCTGGACACACAGGCTGGGGACTATTTGGGAACGACTTCTCAAAGCCCAGGGTTAGAGAGGATGCAGACACGCCCACTCACGGTGCCTTCTCCTTCCCGGCGAACAGCATGTACGCCCTACCCTGCTCTCTCTGAACAGTAAGGTAATTTTCAGCAAAGAGCAAGGCAGGGAACAGCCTGCTCTTGCACATTCGTCCTTCCACAAACAAAAGCAACGTGCACTTGGAGGGATTTTCTTTCCATGTAGCTAGATTTCCCTCTACCCAACGAGACATCTACTCAAAAAAAAAAAAAAGCCAAACAAATATTTGTAAATAGAATCACCCACCTCCCACCTCTCCTTCAGCAAGAAATGGGATTCTTTTTTTCTTTAGATGCAGCTCTGACTGGCCTGGAACTCCCCATATAGACCAGGCCGGCCATGAACTTGGCGTGAACCTCTTGCCCCTCTTTTCCTGAATGTAGGGTGATAGGCACAGATTACCAACACTGGCAGAAGAAATATGATTCGTGGTTTGTTGGGGGAGGGGGAAGTTGTTTGTTTTTGTTTTTAAGATAGCTTGAGTTCACTGTAAAGTGAGGCCTTGAACAATCCTCCTGCCTGCTTCACAGACCCCCCCACCCCACGTCCAGTTTATCAGGTGCTGGAGATGGACCCCAGGGCTTTGTGCGTGCTAGGCTGGTCCTCTATCAACTGAGCTACATCTCTGGCCCAAAATACAATTTCTAAACGGCTTGGCCACATTACCAGTGAAATGCAACCTGTGTATTAACAATTCAGAACTGCCTCGTTATCGTTCTGATCTTTACTTAACAACGGTACTTCTCCCTCTACCCCCCAAAATTTGACAAAGGGTCTGCTAACAAAAATGTAAAAGCACAGGGCAGTGGGGAGCGTTTCCTGCTCTTGCAGAGGACCCAAGTTTGGTTCCCAGCACTAACATGGTGGCCACAACAGCTTGTAACTAATGGTTCAGGAAATGTGATGCCCTCTGGTGGTATTCTCAGGCACCTACATCCACATAGCACACACACACACAGAGAGGGAGGGGGAGGGAGAGGGAGAGAAAGAAAGAGAATCAAAGACAGGAATAAAAATAAATTCTTAAAAAATGCAAATGCACTAAACTTGTTTCACTTTTAAGAAAATCTGCTATGGATCCGTCTTCCAGTTTTTGTTTTGTTTCATTGTTTGTTTGTTTGCTTGCTTGTTCAACATTCTCAACCTTTTTTATTCTTACGGCCTAGCACACGAGCAGTAGGCTTACACGGAACCACAGAACCTGGGACCTCGACACCAACAATCGCTGAGGCTTTAACGCTCTGCTGATTTCCCCTTGCAAGGAAACATGGCCACTCTCTGCTTGAATCCTGATCCTGTATTCATTTGCATATGATACTAACTAAGCTGAGTCACTGCTATATGAACCTAAAAGATTGGCTTCCCAGTGGCTGTCTGCAGATCACTAAGGCAGACCTTAATTCAAGACAGTGAAAGTCACATGGGACAGATAAACTTTCCCTGGGCCTAGACTTCAGGTGTTCTAGTTGTAACTCTTGAAACAGTGTTTGATAATCCACAAGAATGACACTGGCAGCCACAAAAGAGAGACCAACTGTGGTCAGTGGTTTGGGTAGATTTCCACGATGGAAGCCATCGTGGAAATGTTAAAAGTTTAGCCAGGCTTGCTATTGTTGCAGGCCTTTCTATCCCGGCTCATGAGAACCGCAAATTAAAGGTCAGTCTGGGCAGCAGCGGGAGTTTAGGGCAAGCCTGGACAACTTAGTGAGACCCTATCTCAAAATAAAAAAGCAATACAGGGAACGGAGCTCAGTGGTCCAAGTCCTACCCTTCGTGTCCAATATCAGACCCTGGGTTCAAACTCGAGTACTTCAAACAATCAGAAATAAAAATAACTGCCAAGCCTCAAGGTCTTGGCCAAGGGAGGTGACAGCCCCAAGGTTCAAAATCATTAGCAGGGCATCCTGATTAGCTTAGTAAACACGGCAGGATGGAGAGCTGCTTGTACTTGCTGCTTGGTGTGGGCTGTAGCATGATCGAACTCAGCTAGGGAAGCTAGGGAATCCTGTCCAAAAAAGACGCTGAAAATACGTCAGCAGAGAATAACCCCAAACAAATCCAACATCGGCTAGTTTAATCAGAAGACCTGAATCTTACAGTAAGTCGCTTGCTAAGAAAACCTGGCTTAGCCAGGGAAACCTTAGAAGCCCTGTCCTGCCAATCAACGAAATGAAGCAGTGCGTAGACAAGTTTGAATATATTTTTAAGTGAAAATATATCAATAAAAAGGCCAATACCGAAGCTCTATCAGGCGAATCTGAGCACCTAGATACCGCAGCTTCTCAAGTGAGAGCCTAAGAGCGCAGCCCGGTGGGTCTTAAGTAAGCAGACCCACACGGATGCGTTTCCGGAGCCCCGCCGGCTGCTGCTCTAAACCCACTGGCACTCGGCCCCACCCCCAGCCCCAGAAAAGTCCTGACTTGCTCAGCTGCACTTTTCCAGGTGCAGGGTCTGGGAGCAAAGGGGTTGGGGCGGGGGAGGGGGCGAGGCCTGGAATCGTCCCAATGAAAGGGGAGGTGAGGGACCCGAGACATGTCCGGGAAATTCTGGTCCCCAGAAGGGTGCAGAGCCTGGCTGCAGGACCCAGGCGACAATCCTCCCCGCTGAATTCGGGCGTGACCGCCCCCGCATGGGGCACCGGATCGCACTCGGTCTTTCCAGACACGCTCCAGTCTCGAAAATGGGGATGGAGCGAGAGAACTGCGCGCCCCCCGCTGCGGCAACCTCTCCCGCGGGACCCACGCCCCACGACACCGCTTACCTCGGCCCGCGCCCCCGCTGGTGGCAGTGGAGTTCCCGCAACCCATCGCGCCGCCCGCGGGAAAGCCGCGCTCCGGACCTCACCAACGCCGCAGGTCCGGGAGGTGGAGACCCAGATGGAGGCGGCACCAGGGACCAGGGACAGCCCTAGCCCCGCCCGGCGCGGGGACCCCCACGGACCCCACCCGTCACCGCGGCAACCGCGGTGTCCACCAATCCGCAGCCTCCTGCGCGCTCCTCGGCCGGGCATTGGTGGTGGTTCAGAGGAGGCGGGAGTTCAAAGTAGGGTTTGGGGTACCAGGCCAAAAGCCGAGGGCGTGGTCCGCAGCAGGATCACCAAGCTTGGGATGCTCACCAGTTCGCCCTCCTTCCTCCTTCCTCTTCGCCTTCCCCTTTCTTTACTCAAAGCCCCTATTCTCCGTCCCCAAGATGTGGAGAGGAGAGGAAGTAACAGGGAACATCTGTTTGGAGCATTGTGGATGTCTGTCTAGTGAGGCTAAGGTTAACAGCCTAAACGATGTTCAGATCTGAAGACGAAAACAAAACCTCTCCCGCTTTCGAAGAAGGCAGAGACAGCTCCATCCCCACAACCTCATCACCTAGAAAACTCAGTTGCCCTACCCCCAGGTTGGTCAGACCTACGTGTCTTCCCCAAAAGTCGGTGTCTCTCAGATCTGAAACTAGAGTCTCACCCTGCTTTCTGATTCAAGGCAGAGCTACGAATGTTCGTGGTTTCGTTCAACATAGCCGTTGGGCATGTGTAACTGGGGTCACACACAACACCTGCTCTGCCCCGTGACAGCTGTGTGACTTCAGGAGCAATATGGAGACACAGAATCATGGACGTGTGTAAGCTACTGGCTCAACGCCTGTGCTCAGCCAATGCCAGTTCCTATCATGGATCTTGTATTGAGCAGGAATACAAATTCCCTAGAGATGAGGGATCCTCCATTTCTTACTGTCCTCCTGGCTCACAGTGGAGAATCAATAAACTCATTGAGACACTGGTGAATTCAAGCAAGGAAATAAAGCCCCATTTTAAACTCACTTGGTATTTACAGAGAGCCTAGGCTGTGCCAAGTTCTTTCGCTAAGTTCTGGGGTTACAAACATGAGGGAGACAGTCTCCTGATTATAAACAAATTAGCTACATTGTGACAGAGACACCATCAGAGTGATGCAGAGAGGAAAGGCTCAAAACTATACCTGTCCAGGGGGAGCATATAGAACCAAAGCTCGGGCAGGCTTCTGAGAACCACCTCGGAGATTCCAGGACTTGGGAATCCTGTTATTCAGGATATGAGAGACACTGCATCCTCCGTTTGAAGCTTAGGTATGTGTGACCTTGTGATGGGATGCTGATTATTCTAGGGCAAGAGGAGAGCACTTTTCGGTTGGCTTCTAGAAGAGCTAAGTATCACTTTCCTTTCTAGTCTGTGGGCAAAATGCTTGAGAAGAAGCCACTCCAGAAACCACAGTTTTATTTTGACTGATGATTAGGTAGGAATGTAGTCCGTTTCGGTGAGGCAAGGACGGTGGCAGGAACCCATGAGACTGTTACCAGCCTTAAGGCCAACAGCCTTTCTCAGTCCACTGGGCTTGACCCAAGGCGTGAGTCCAAGTTCATTGTCCCAGGCCAGTAGAGACTAAAGACGCAGACACTTGCCAGAGCGAGAAGGCAAACTTTATTAGGGAGTTTACAGAATGGTAAGAAATTAAGGAAAAATGAGGCAGGCTCCCAAGATACATTTAGTAAAAACAGAAAGCAAAGCTCTCAGTATTACTGCTGGCCCTGTGGATGTCCTCAGTGCTGTCCATTAATCTGTCCTCACAGCTACCAAGACACGGCAGCGGTGTCGTGGCTTTCTGTTGTCTCCCATGGTTTGTCTGACTTGAGTCTTGTCAAGTCCTCTTTACTGTCCTGTACCTAGCATACGAGTATCTTTGTCTTGTCCTTGATGCTCCTGGCTTTACTGTTTAAACCTAGCGTGAATGAACTCTCACATCTATCCCCACTGTAACGTATGTGAGGAACTTGGAGCTTGCAGCATGAGCCCTTTTCCCTTTGACCTACTGGGAACTAAACTCCTGCTTCAGGTGGCCCGTCTCCCTAGGTTAGCAAAAAAACAGACAGGAAAGGAGGTTGGGCTGTACAATAACCTCAGGGCCGACACCCGGTGACCTCTTCCTGCAGGAAGTCTCCACCTCTCAAAGATCCCACAACCTTTCGAACTAACACCCCACCTGGAAACCAAACCCCAGTGTACTGGTTTCCATCTTGGCCTCCGTTGTCTTCCTTCAGAGGCCACCCCTAAACAAATCCTACATTTGTGAAGGGTATTACCCACCACCAAGGAGCGGGAAGAATGACCATTCCTTAGTCCTGTGGTCTCTGACAGTGGGCTGCATTCCTGAGACACCAGCAAGAACAGTAAAAGCAAACCACAAGATCCAGAAACTGGCCCAACACCCCCAGTTAATCTTTTGCAGTATCTGCCCAGCATGCTGGCACAGAACAGCAATGCCATCCTCTTAACTGAGGATAAGAGACACAAACCAAGACCTTGAAGTAACCTTGTCCAAGTACTGCCAATGGGAACATGCCCTGTCCTGGCAATATGGACGGCTGCTGCCACCTCACCAACTGCTGACAGTTTGTTTCTAGTCTAATCTTCCTGTCCTCTGTAGGTGTATCAGAACATTCATTGTCCCTGCTTCCTGACAATAGCCAACCCAGAAAAAATAAAGTAAAATCAAATCTCACTTCCTAAACTTTCCAGCAAAATGACCTACTAGGAACCTAAAGTTCTCGTAAGTTCTTGCTCACAACCTCTGTGTGCTCTGTGTGTGTGTGTGTGTGTGTGTGTGTGTGTGTGTGTGTGTGTGTGTGGAGAGAGAGAGAGAGAGAGAGAGAGAGAGAGAGAGAGAGAGAGAGAGAATGAGCAGTCATAGGCCCAACTTGCTCAACAGCTGTGTTCCTGGGGATCTTTAGCAGGAAGTAACTGACCCTGGTCAATATCATGTGTTTCACCTGACAGACTACAGCTTGTGGAATCTTCCCACTCTCCTGACAAACTCTACTCTGTATCTCCTTCAAGGCCAGTCATTCCTCTACATGCTGGAGAGGTGACTGGAATGAGGCCATCTCAGACACTAGAGAGCCAGCGGGAGAAACCAATCAAGTCCCTGGACAGAGAACTGACAGCCTCTGACAGCGCTCTACACAGGGGGGTCATAATGGGATGGGTATTTAGAGACGTCTGCTGGAGGAGAACTCAGGTCCAAGATCCACACAAAAAGACTCCAGGCGACAAGAGCAACAAGAGCGACAGCTGAGAAGCTCTGAGGCTGGAGTGGGCTGAGTATGATCCTTCAATAGAAAAACATCCGGGAGAGCAGGCTGGAGGCCAGGTGAGGGCGGGGAGCAGGGGAGCAGGGGCTGGGGGCAGGGGCAGGTGTGACCTCAGAGGCAACAGCATGAAAAGTTCCTAACAGATGTACTATGGAGAGAAGAACCAACACTGCCTCTCCCCCCATTTTAGGGATTTGCTTGTTTTGCTGTATCTTGTCATTGTATAGATAAAAGTTTGCTGCATTTGGATGCTTCTAAACACAGTCAAAAGAAAATCATTACTGCATGCCCCATTGGCAGGCTTTTCTCTTCGTGATGGGAAAACCCCACCACCCAGCTGTGGTTTCCCCGCTGACTTTGAGCAGCGACTACTTTGTGGGAAGGAGAGAGGAGAAGGTGAGTCTGCTGAGCAGGAAGACGTGAGGCAGAGGAAGTCTGCTCTCCTGGTTCTCCTCCCCAGGCAGGACTCCCCACCATGTTGGACGGCTTGGATCTTGTTTACATTTTTCTCTCTCTGTTGACAAGCTGCAAGATGGCTGCCTTGGCCGCTATGTATGGAAGACACTCTACAAATGAGAGTTCCTGCTCTGGGCGTGCTTCAAAGTCAGGACACTGCCAGCAAACTTCTCCCATAGTTCTTCTGATGGATCCTCAGGAAGCCAGAAGCCTAACACTACACCACACCTGTCACTCATCTGGTCCTCTCTCCGGTGCTAACATCTCACACCCTCAAAGGAAAAGCATGAACACAGCATGTGGGGTTAGAGAACAAGCCACACTCATGTCATCCTATGACAACATATGATTACAATTGTCCAGATTTGGGCCTGGAGAGGTTAGGTAGTTAAGAACACTTGGTGTTCTTACAGAGGACCCAGGCTCACTTCCCGGCACATGCATGGCAGCTCACAAACATCCACAACCCCAGTTCCAGGGAAGGATTCAGTTCCCAGCACACACGTGGTGGCTCACAACCATGCAACTCCAGTTCGAGGGGTTCCAATGTCGTTTGTGACCTCCATGGGCATCAGGCATGGACACAGTATGCACGCATGTGTACAGGCAAGGCAGTCATGCATGTAAAATAAAAATAAATAGATGCCTTTAAATGTTTTAATGTTCTGTTTTATTATTGGCTATTGTGAAGCTCTCGCTGTGCTTAATTTTAAACTCTTGTGCATGTGTGTGTGTGTGTGTGTGCCTCTATGTGTACATGTGTGTTCATGTGTGTGTATACCATATGTGAAAATCATAGACAAAAGAGCTGGGCTTTCAGACATCCATGGGGAGCCTTCGGTAAGATAAACACAGATATGGAGTTAATTGAGAGGGGGATTGTTTGAGACAGGGTCTTGTGTAACCCACGCTGCCCTCACTGATGGTTCCAGACGGCCTTGAACCCCTGGTCCTCTCTCTAACCTCACAAGGGTTTAGGTGACAGGCTTGCTCCACCACGCCCAGCTTTCGGCACCATCACAAACCCAACGCCACCTGTCCTCACACACACTGCTCTCTCCAGGTTCAAAATCCCAAAGGGGAGGCCCAAGGAGAATGTTTTCTGAGGTCAGGAAGAAATAGATGCTGTCACTCCTTAAATTGAAATGCTGGAGGACCAACTGTGACTTTAACAGCACAATTTGCCCTAAGCCCTTAAAAAAAAAAAAAAAAAAAAAGTTCATTTTTCAGGTAGTTAGAAAGGCGGTTGCCCCCAGTGTGTAATGTTAATTTAAGAACACCAACTCTGATACTGATGTTTGAGCATGAGGAAATAAATAGCCGCCCAGAGAAGTCTCACTCCCTGTTGATCCCGCATTC